AAAAAAAAAAAATCCGGATCAATCCGGATTGATCCGGATACGGGTCGAGGCACTACACCCAACCACCCTAAGAGACATACTTTCTTTTGCTAAAAATTAATTAAAATTTCGGAAAATCATGTGAAAATTAAATAATAATAAAAGAATTATTTTTCGTCGATTTCGGTTGGACTCTGCTGCGGAACTGTGGTCTAACGGTAAGTGGTAAGGATTTTTTATTTGCGTCGGGTTGATTTCTTTTAGGTTCAGCCAGTTCCAGGATTTTTCTTTATAGGATCAGTTCATTACTGCTGTGGTATTACGTTAAATAGCTTCAATTTCCTTTGGCGTCAGGGGATTAGTAATATTAAGTTATTAATAAATTTTTTCTTTCTTTTTCAGTTCCGTCATTCTGGCTGAGAATCGGCTTATTAATTGATAGGGCAATTAAATTATACTTAAATTAGAATTATTTCCATGTTTAAATTATTATCTAAACCAAAAGATTTGAAGCTATATTTATTAAAGTCCTACTTTGTTTAAGTATGTATAAAAAATCTAATATATTTAGAGTTAGAAATTTTTATTATGCAATTCGGTCCAAAAAAAGTGGAAAAAAAAAAAATTTTAAAAAAAATAACAATACGGTCTAAAAAAAAGATCGAAAAAAAATAATATAAAAAAAATCGGTCTTAATAAGACCGAAACAATAGGATTATTTTAATTAAAAAATTTCAGTTTGGAAAAAAAATTAAACATAAATGAGAAAAAACAAATTTTTCGGTTTGAAAAAAAAATGAAAAAAAATCGGACAAAAAATTAAAAAATTAAATAATCAAAAAAAAAAAATTCCGATTAAGGTAATTTTCATTAACCGAAATTGGATTAGTGGATCGAATAGTTTTGGACCATATATATAAATGAGGCATGTCACGGTTTTAATTATATAGCATGGGATTTCAAGTTACACAATTCAAATTATTTATGCGGAGACGTCAGACAAATTTTTTTAGTTATATATACAGTAGATTATCCATTTTTATTTTATTTTATTCAATATAGACGTAGACTGGGGTGATAACAAGGAAATCCCTGTAATGCTGTAAGTTAGCACCATTACAAATAGTACCTAACGGAGTTGTCCTGCCTATTACTAATATCTAGACTATATCGTAGAATAAATTGGAAAAAGAAATAATAAAATTACCTAAATTATAAAAAAACGAAAAGTTATATAGATTATCCAAATATCAAAAAAAAGTTGAAATCATTCACGTGATAAAGTTGCATTTGATTTTGACGTAATAATTTTTATTTGGGAAGAATCTTTAATTTAACCAAATATGAATGATTGCATTACTAGAAAACTTTATAAATTTACACAATTTTTTTTTTATAACCATGTTAAATTCTTATTTTAAATTTTTATAAATATTACAACACAATTTATTTCCTTCGAAATTAAGTCAAAATTATATTGAATTATTGGATGATAATGAATATTACGATATTACAGTTGAAGTTGGCAAAGATCCTAATGTGAAAATATTTCGTTCACACAAGATTATTTTGTGTCGCCGTTCTCCATGCTTACGACGTAGTTTGGCCTCTAGTAAAAACCAATGTTTTAACTAACATTAAGTTTCCGAATATCACCAGAGGTTTTCCAAATTATTTTAAGGTAAGTTTGTAACTATATATAATACAATAATGACTAAATATAACATAATGCGTATAATTATCTTTAATATTTATTGAAATAATTAATTTTATGATACAGGTATATCTATGGAGGTATTCTTTCGTTGAGTGAAAATATGATTCAAAAATTTTTCAAATTTTATTGGCAGCAGATGAACTATTTCTTCAAGAATTAATTGATTATTTACAAAATATTTGATTGAAAATAAATCCGAATGGATGGAGCAACACTTTGAATTCATTCATCGAACAAGTTTTCAATACAATTCTTTATTGGAAATTCAACGATTCTGTACAGATTTTATGGCAAAATCTCCAGAGAAAGTATTTAAATCACTTGATTTCACTTCACTTCCTGAAAAATCTTTAGTTCAACTCATTAAAAGAGATGATTTACAAATGAAAGAAATAGAGGTTTGGGAACATGTATTAGAATGGGTCTTGCACAAAATCCTACACTTGATCCTAATGATTTGTCAGATGCTGATTTTAAAACAATGAAATATACTTTACAACATTGTTTACCTTGGATTGGATTTTTTAGTTTATCATCCAAAGAATTTTCACAAAAAGTTCGTCCTTATAAGAAGCTCTTAAGACGCCAAATTTATGAAAATTTATTAAATTCTCACTTAGATCCTGATATTAAACCAATTGATAATATTTTACTTCCTAGAGATATTAGATTTGATTGAATTATTGATTCAAAAATTATTGATTTGAATATGGCTTCGATTATTTCAAGATGGATCAATAAAGTTGATGTTAATTGTAACTTTTCTTATTTAAGAGAATTGTATTTACCATACAAATTTCAATATTTTAACTGGACGTTCGTTAATTACTATAATACAGGTCTTATAATCTCTATACTATCAAGCAAAAACTTTTATCAGATGGATAATAATTGATGAAGTTTCATTTATACCGATAATTAAATTTACTATTAGTATAAAAGTGGAATTTCATAAATTTTTTGCACATTATGTTAAAGCAAGTGAAATTTCAAATGAATTATTTAAAGAATTATAATTTAAACAAAGGATATTAATCAATAGTGTAATTTATTTAAAATAAAAAAATATGCAAAATAAGAAGGATCATTCAATTCCAAAAAAAATAACACCACTGAACTAAGTTAAGAATTTTTCAAAATAAAAAAATTTTTCTCTCTACATTCTATCATTATCATTTCAAGCATTTTTGTACTCCAATTTGTTTTAATAACAATGTAGTGTAGCACACTCCAACTTTATTTTCATCAATACTATTTTCTAATTCAAAAATTCACCTAATTTAAATATAACCTCATTATTAAGTAGAGCCGTCATGCATTTCGCTAACCTTAAGAAATTCTAAATCATTGATTATGTTCCCAAAATTACTGTTATGTGCATCAATATATAATTCAAATTCTTTTTCTCTATTAATTTCACTTCTTTTACTAATTAAACAATGACATCCATATTTTAAATCAACTTCTTTAAATTCATTTTCAGTTGATTTTTTATAATATTTTTTATAATATTCAAATGCTTCTTTAGTTTCATCTCTATTCACACCATTTCCTAATTCATAGCATTCACCTAAATTATATTGTGATATTTTATTTTTGGTTTCTGCCGCTTTGATGTAAACAGCTTTTTCTAAATTAGTTTTTGTACCTTTACCATTCTCATATGATAATCTCAAGTTATTTTGGGCAACTTTATGTCCTTTATCAGATGCTCTTTTATATAGCTCAAATGCTTTCGTTTTATCAACCCCTGTTCCAATTCCACTAAGATAACAATTTCCAAGTTGAAATTGAGCGTATGAATACCCTTGATCAGCTGACTTTTTATAATATTCTAATGCTTTAACTACATCTTTTTCTGCACTTTTACGATTTTGATAGTAAATACCTAAAATATATTGTGCAACTTTATATCCTTGATTAGCGGCCTTCTCATATGACTCAAATGCTTTCATTTTATTGACTTCTGTTCCAATTCCATTAAGGTAACAATTTCCAAGCTGGAAATGAGCATATAAATACCCTTGACCAGCTGCGTTTTTATATGACTCAAATGCTTTTGTTTTATCAATTATTGTTCCAATTCCTTTAGAATAACAACATCCAAGTTGAAATTGAGCATATAAATATTCTTGATCTGCTGACTTTTTATAATATTCAAATGCTTTTCTTTCATCTTTTTCTACACCATTTCCATTTTCATAACATTTGCCCAAATTATATTCTGCTATCGTGCATTCATTTTCTGTTGCTTTACAATACCAGTAAGAAGCTTGTTTTAAGTCTTTATTTATACTTCTACCTAACTCATATAATTCTCCTAAATAATTTTGACTACTACAACTTTCTCCTTTTTCAGCCAATTCTTTGATTATTTCAATACCTTTTGTTTTATTAATTTCTGTTCCAATTCCTTCAAAATAACAATTTCCAATTTGAAGTTGAGATTCTATATATCCTTTATCAGCTGATTTTTTATAACATTCAAAAGCTTTAGCTTTATTATTATTTGTAAGGTAATGATTTCCCAACAAATATTGTGCAACGGCATTTCCATTTTTTCCTGCCTCTTTAAATAATTTGAATGCTATTTTATTATTTACTTCAGTTCCATATCCAAGTTTATAGAAAACATTAAGAACAAGTTTTGCATTAACTTGTTTACTATATCTTAACATTCGAGAATACCAATTATTTGCTTTATTTATTGTTATTTCTTTATCACCAGATAAATAATTAGTAATCTGATTTTCGCTAATTTGTCAAATATTTCGAGAGCCTTTTTTCTATCCTTATTAATACCTATTCCATATCCATAATGAATTCCTAGCAAATATAATGCATCATTGTCTCCTTTTTCAGCCATTATTTTAATTAATTCAAATGCCTTAACTCTATTTATTTCAGTACCATATCCAAAGTTATAACAATAAATAAGTTGAAACTGTGCACTATTATTATCTTGTTTAGCTGATTTCTTATATAATTCAAAGGCTTTTCTTGTGTCTTTTCTTACACCTGTTCCTAATTGATAACATTTACCTAAATTAAATTGTGCAAATTCACATCCATTTCCTGCTGCTTTTTGTAGATAATGAAAAGATTTTTCATAATTTGCTTTCAATAATATTTTTCCAACACAATATAATCCAAGTTGACTTAAATTTCTAAAAAATAAAATTTTGCAAAGCTTTCTTTTTTTAGTATTTTCTGTTTCAATTCTTATTTTTTTATTATAATGCTTTTTAAGAATATTTTTTGCTATAATATTTCCATTATCCTCTGCTTTTTCATACCAATATTTTGCTTGTAGTTTATCAATTTTTGTTCCAATTCCATTATAAAAACAATTACCAAGTTCTAGTTGTGCATCAGAAATTTCTTGTTTTGCTAATATTTCATAGTATTCAAATGCTTTCATCTCATCTTTATCAACTCCTTTTCCTAATCTATAGTTATTAGCAAGATAAAGTTTTGCAATTGTATTTCCACTTTTAGAAGCTTCTTTATACCAATAAACTGATTTTTTTTCATTATTCATTATTCCAATACCAAATTCATAACAATATCCTAGATAAAATTTTCCAATTATACTTCCATTATTCGCAGATTTTTCACACCAATCAAATGACATTCTTTTACCACGGTTAATACCATATCCATCATAATAACATTTAGCAAGATAAATTTGTGCAATTGAATAATTATTATTTGCTGCTTTTGAAAACAATTCAAATGCTTTAATACTATTTTCTTCTTCTATACCAATATTATAATAATAAAATAATCCAAGAAACCAAATATATTGAGATTTATCCTGATTTTTTGATAACCAATATATGAGAGTATTTACATTTTGATTTAACTGTAATATTTTTTTATCAATGAGTTGTTGAACTTGATCAAAAGTAATTCCTCTGTCATGTTTCTTAATTATATAAATAATCAACTTATCAACAATTGCTCCATATATCGACTCAACTAAATTAATTGATGATAATGACGTTTGAACTGATGCAATTGATGAACTATCTTGTGAGCTTATCCTACTATCACACACATCACATACATTAATATTTGTCGATGTAATATATGATGGATTTGACATAGTATTAAATACTAAACTATTATTAATATTTAAATCATTATTTATATCCAAAGACACCTTGCTTGATTCTGAATTTGTTTCGTAATTTTCCGAAGAAAAAAAAATTTTTTTGTCTTCATTTAAGTTATAAATGACAATTTCAAGAGAAATGATTTCTTTAAGTATTAAAACAACTTCTTGCATATTTGGGCGTTTATTCGGTTCATAATTCCAACATGCTAATCAATTGATAAATAAAATTAATATTCATGATGCTCATAATAAAGTATTAATTATGGTACGGCACGATTTCCCGACGGATGATTTCCTGACAAGGCATTTGCCCGACAAGTTTGGTCAGAGATATGCACGAACACGTGATCAAACGGCCAGCGTTAGACTGTCGGGAAAATGTTCCGTCGGGAAACGGTCCGTAAGCGTTAATTATATCATATAAATATTACCTGTATATAATTTACTATATTTAATAGGAGTTCCATCAATAATTTTTTCTCTTTTACCAGTTAATATAGATAACATTAAGTTTAGACCATAATCAACTTCACGAAAAGGTCTATATCCACTTGATATTTGCCAAAATAAAACTCCAATGCTGTATACATCTGATTTTTTATTTAATTTATAATTTTCTTTGTCTTCGAAACTTTTTGGGTCCACATAGGGTAATACACCAAATACTTTTGATATGTCACTTGATGCTTCAGAAATTTTTTTTGATAAACCAAAGTCTGTTAATTTAATATTTTTCTGGTGTATAAGTATATTATTTCCATGCTTCAATTACAAAATTAATTATATTAGCCTTTTTATACTGTACCTTTTAAAATAAATGATATTTGAACGAATAAATATTTAAAAAATATATATTACCAGGTCGCGATGAATAATATTATTATTATGCAAAAATTCTAGAGTACTAGCCAATTGCATTGCTAGGTGGGATTTATCATTCCAGCTCAATTCATTAAAATTCTTGCTTAAATAAGCATTCAACGTACCACTATCAGCATATTCTAAGACTAAAGAATACTTTTGAATTTCGCCTAATTAAATCAATTTTATTTATATTTAAAATAATTACTTATTATTAAGAAAAATTGATTATTACGTTAAATATGATTTCAATACTTACTGGTTTCTACCTTTGTAATTCCACAAAACCGGATGATATTTCCATGTGCGTTAACACTTCGGTGTAATTTTAACTGTGTTGTATTGTATTAAAATGATTATTATAAATTCTAATATTTTGTATTACCATACCTTTTGAATAATTACTTACCTCTTTTACAATTTCTTCAAGAGTTTGTTTATCATCACTAAAAGATTTCAAAGCGAAGAAATGATCAGTATTTTTCCAATTAACACGATTTATATTTCCATAAGAACCACTTCCTATTGGTAGAATATTTTTGAAGTCTGAATAATCATAGTAGTTGATATGTTCATCGACAATTGATTTCTCTAACCATTCAATATAATGGTTTGAATCTTTTAAGATGTTTTTTGACATTTTTTTTTTTATATTTTCTAATTAAGTTGAAAACATTCTTTTATATTCAATAATTGATCGGCGAAATTTTAAATTTTTATGGTTACTTGCTGAGCTTTTTTGAAATGAGGACACATTATCGTTAATTATCGTAATGTTACATAAAGTTTTTTATTTTTTCAGGAATTTTCAGTAGTTCATAGATTAATTAATAATTTAAAATAATAAATTCACCACGTATGACAACTCTGGATATGGAATGTAAAAATAGATTATAAAAATCAATAATAAAAAAAAAAATACAAAATATTAAAAATTTTACGTACATAATTAATTTACATAAATTACGTTAAATGGGTTTCTCATAGAATGTAAGCTAAATAGAATTATGTAAGATTTTACAAATTTATGGAAATGATTTCCATTTGATTTAACTCAGTTAATTTTTATGTGAACCAAGGGGTTTGGTTCATCCATTGATAATCATTACACCGACAGTTTATTTGCCTAATTTTAGATTATTTTTTAATTGATAAACAAGAGGCATGCTTTTAAAAAATCTTTAAGTGAAATTATTGTGAAAAAAAAAAATGACTTCAATTTATAAATATGCAAATTATTGATATAAAATAAGCTTCGTTAAAATAAATAAATTAATAAAATGAATAAACAAATGATATTTTCTATTTATAATGAGTAAATTAAATATAGAGAAATGGCAGATTTCGGTTTATTATAAATTAAAATAGTAAAATAGTAAAAATTTAAGGGAATTGTTAAACGTCGCCTGGGTGATTGTCGCCTGGATTTTTTTTTTCAAATATGTCACATGATGTACAATATATAGAGTAAATTTATTGATCGGCTGACAGCTGATTTTTTTTTTATCGCAAAAGATATTTTTAAAAAATTTTTTGCAAACATATTTATTCAAAATAATCTTATCTAATGAAATTTTATTTATAAATATTAAAATTTAAGTCACACATTTACGATTTTAAAGAAAAAAATCACTGTATTTTTAATAAAGTGATACAAATAAAAGAAACAATAACAAAAAATAAAAAGATAAGTAAATTACAATGACCAAGGAGAAATATGCCAATAAAAAAATGAAATAACAATGGAGTAATGGAAAATAATAGAAGATGAAAGGGAGTAATGATAGGAAACAAAAAGGAGAAATACTAGGACATGATGGGAGATGAAGAGAAGTGATGGAAGACGAAAAGGATTGATGGAAAGATGAAGAGGAGTGACGGGAGATGAAAGGAGTGATGAGAAGATGAAGAGGCAAGGAGTGATGGGAGACGAAAAGGAGCGATGAGAGGAAAAAAGAAATGATGGGAAGTAAACAGGAGAGAAAAAGAGATAATGGAAAATGAAAAGATGTAATAGAAAATAATGGGAGGCGAAAAGTATGGAATAATGAGAAGTAATAGGAGGTTAAAAAATGTCAAAATTGACTTTTTTTAATTAAAAATGTTAAAAATGTCAAAATCGATGGGTTTTAATTAAAATCAATAAAAAAAACGTTTTTTCAATTAAAAAAAAAACGTCAAAATTGACAATTTTTACAAAATTGACGTTTTTTAATTAAAATTAATAAAAAAAAATGTTTTCTATTAAGCACGTCAAAATTGATGTTTTTTAATCTGATCACTTCAACCTCTCTTCTACGCTAATATACTGTAGATAAAAAGAGGGTTGCGTTTTATTTGTTCTTGGGTGACAAAGTTAAACCTTTAAGAATAAAACACCTACTTTGGGGCGTATTTTGGAGGAGAAATCATAAAACGAAATAATCGAAATAATTTGTCATAGCAAGTATCACGTTCCCTATATTTCTTCTGTTTAGCGATGTATATCGATATGTGTGATGTCCAATAGTAATATCCACGTAGATCAAGTTTATCACGTGAAACTTTACAGCCTGGACGAGAACGAAAATGTGTAAAAGCAGGGTTTGAATAGTTGTAAAAGAGTTGGGAGCCAAGAAAAGAGGACGTTACTTGACCTGTTTGGCAGGGTGGCTCCCTTGTTATCGTTGTTTTTGTAAAGTTTTTGTATGTGTTGGTTATGCTAAAATTTATCATGCGTACAAATAATAAATATATAAAATACTAAATATATAAAATATGATAACATAACGATAAATAAAAATGTTTTAATCAGAGCACATTACATAACCTTGTCATCTGGACGTACAGTCGGTACAGTTTTCCTGAATAATACAATCAAAAAAAAATAAAAAAAATTGATAAATGTCAAATTCATATATACATGATAAAAGAATTTAATTTAATTAAAATTATCTATTAATCAATTTAATACTCATGAAATATTAATTTCTTAATTTAATTTCAACCAATAATTAAGTACAAACCTGATTCAGTTTTTACAGAAGCTTTATATCTACTTAATCAATTTCATATTTTCAAATAATAAAGCTACTAAACAAACTAATTCAATCATTGTTAACTTTATTCCTAGACAGATTCTTAATCCTCCTTATTATTTTCAAAAAAAATTTTAGCAAATGTACGAGTTTACGAAGTACATTTGTAAATCAATGAGTAACGTAGGGACAAATATAATCACGTGCAATCGGCCTTTTATTATTGTTGCGCAAGTAAAGTAATACAAAGAATAAAAACAATAAAACCCTTACTGAGAAAACTCTTCCCCTTTTTCTTCATTTCAGTTATTTTCCGCAGTAATTTTGCGCAAGTTCATTTTTTTTAAGTTTCTATTTGAAACAACCAAAGGGAAGAGGCCCTAAAGGGCGCCTCGGGCATAAGACGAGGCTTTATTGTTCTTACTATACCCATATTTAAGGGTTGGTTATGTCTTATTTTCCAAGAGCCGACGATTTTGCTCTTGCACCCGGATACGACTATACACCTGCTGGTCCTAATGATTTCATTTTCAACCATGATACTTTACAAACAGTACCTCCTATTGATAACATTTTATCGGATACACCTTCATTTCATAACGACTTTGATGATATTAGGCCTTTCTCTTCGCCTAACAAAACTTATATTTTTTCTACAAAATACGAAAAGTTCCACGTGACTCCACACCATAGAGC